TAGAATAATGGTGTTAAGAAAACTTTATTGTGCAGTAGGTTTTGTGCAGGACTACTCTGTGGCATATTCTAGGAGGTGAAAATTTCTCTTGAGAGTCTTTTACTTTTTTTGGCTCAGGTAAATATAAGTGCAATTTAATATGGTTATTACCAAATGATTTATGAACCTTCATACTCAGGGGGAAATTATGAATTTTAATAATTAGAAAAAAAAGAAAGTTATTTTACTCCTCACCTGAGGATATGTTTTTATTGATTGTGGCTAAAGGGAAGGAGAGATAGAGATAGAGATAGAGATAGATAGAGATAGAGATAGAGATAGAGATAGAGATAGAGATAGAGATAGAGAGATAGAAACATCAATGTGATAGAGACATCGATTGGTCCACCCCCCCCCATACATACCCCAACTGGGGATCAAACCCCCAACTTAGGTATGTGCCCTGATCTGGAATCCAACCAACAATCTTTTTTTTGGTGTACAGGGATGCTCTAACCAACAGAACCACCAGGCCAGGGCAGGAAGGTTGTTTAAATGAACTTAAGTTTATCTACTTAAATTGCACTCATCTTTTTTAGCCATTATTGTATAATTTGAACTTTCTTCCACTCTTATAGCTAAAAAAAAATCTCTTCTTGGGATTCTTATTTCATTTAAAAAATGATTATTGTTTCCTTGGGCTGGATGAATCATTCTCTTTCTTGTTTTGAAAGAAAAACCAAGGCTTCATCGTGGTCATCATTTGACAGGCTTTATTCCTTCAATAGTTAGGAGAAGAATACCCTTCCCCATCACTCCTTTGCTATTTCCAGATATTCTGGACAATTGTGGTGACTTATGGCCATACCATAGTTGGCTTTGTATTACTTTCTGAGGAGAAAACATCCTTTTGGGTGAGAAGTGAGCCCTGTCTTAGCTCAGGGCCTCTCAAATTTTTCAGGGGAGGCCCATGGGCAGTGGTAGAGCAGAGGCCCTACAGCAGACAGCGGAAAGCAGGAGATGTCTGGGAAGTTCTGTTTTTCATCTCTATGCAGTTTTTCAACAGGTGGCACAGTGGTTATAAAATAACGGTTTCTCCCCATTTGCTCCCCTTCAGCCTCAATAAATTGTTGATCCAGAGAGATGCTGTAGGTTTATTTTGTGCCTGCATGTGCCCTAGGCAAGCCATTTAGTACCCTCAAGGTCTACACTTAATCACTCAGAGAAATGTGGCCTTAGCAGCGGTTCTCAACCTGTGGGTCGCGACCATCGGAAAACACATATAGCATATCAGATATTTACATTATGATTCATAACAGTAGTAAAATTACAGTTATGAAGTAGCAACGAAAATAATTTTATGGTTGGGGGTCACCACAACATGAGGAACTGTATTAAAGGGTCATGGCATTAGGAAGGTTGAGAACCACTGCCTTAGGGGATCCCAACCCTATTTAAATCCCAATTGTACCTTTTAGGGCTTTAGGCTTCCAATTGGTCTGGATCTGTCCAGGTAAATCACAAATATAACTACAGATACTAATATCTCTAAATTATTTGCCATCTGTTGTGACAAATGGTTCTGGGTCTTGCTGTCCTCTCTCCGAACCATTCTTCCTCTTTCCATCATTTGACCAGCACTAGAGCTTCAATGTGCTAAACCATCCACTTTATCTTTGATCTTTTCAATTTGATTTCCTTTCTGAAATGTTTTTGTAAATGCCTTTAGTGCTCTTCTGCTCACTCATTCCATTGGCTTTTTTTTTTCTGTTAGATTTCAACCTCCATCTTTCAGCGTTTCCACTGTTGATGGTGAACCATTGTATCAGGTTGTTTGGGTAGGTTATGCTGTAGTAGCAATACCTCTGTGGCTTTGAACAACAATGTTTATTTCTCACTTAAGAAAATGTGAAGGGTAGATGCGCCTCATGTTGCCTTTGCTCTATGACCCATGATGGAGAAGTAACCCCTCTCTGGAATAGCCCAGGGCTCTCGGTAGGGAAAGAGGTGGTAAGACTATGATGCTCAGAAGCCGCACGCCACTTCCCCTCACATGGCAAGTCCCACAGCCAAGTTTGATATTAATGGGGAAGAATGTAGAATCCTCCCCCAAAACAGATCTGGAAGAAAGATGCAGTGTAGATGTGACAAGAATAAAATATCCCAGAGCCATTGCTTCTCAAAATTTTATGTATTCAGAATCTAGCACAGTGCCCATCATATCATAGATAGTAGCAGAAAGACCTGTTTATTTCTTCCCCAAATTCTGACTTTTTGTAATGATGTTGCAGACCTTGGCCTGACTCTTTCATTATCTTTACAAGTGTTTATCATCAGCATTTTCTCTTTATTCTCCTCATCCTTTCTCTACAGTTTCCCATACACTTTGATGTTTTGGAAATCCAACCTGGGTTATTATTATTATTATTATTATTGTCTAGCTCATGGCAATTTGCCTTCACACTACATTTCTAAATGGCTCAGCAAGACAAGGGAAATCTAGAGTTTTTATTTTAAGCCATGTTTAGAGATGAGAAAGGGAGTCAGTTGTTTAGAACTTTGATGATTCCTGCTTTGGCATCCTGAATAGAACCAAATGAATTAACCCTAGCAAATGAATTAACCCTAAGCTTTTATCTGGTAGTACCTGGATTTACGGAGCTCACAGAAATAGCTTGAGCTTAATGCAGAAAAATAAAACCTCACCTGAGCTTTACATATATTTCATAAAAATAATGTCACTATATCTGTACTGTACTAGGAAAATATACTTATATAGAATCCCTTTGGGGACCAGCATAGTATTAAACCAGGCATGTGGAACCTTTATTCTGCCAAGGGCCATTTGGATATTTATAACATCATTTGCAGGTCATACAAAATTACCAATTTAAAAATTAGCCTGCTATATTTGGTCAAGCATTTAATTAACTCATCTCTAATGCCTTGGCAGGGCCAGACCAAGTGATTTTGTGGGCCTTATGCGGCCTGTGGACGTTCCCCACCCCTGTCTTAAACACTTCTTTTCAGAGTTTCTTTGTATTAATCACTATCTTTAAATTTGATGAATATTTTTCTTTGCTTTGTCCTCTAAACATTTTGCATGGCTGTTGCAGAGCTAAATGTAATCTACTTGTAGTTTTCTATTTAGATATTTTACTTCCCCTACTAGATTATAATTCACTGAAGGAAGTAGGTATTTTCCCTTCATCCCTCCCTGCTTTTTGGTAAATACTAACAAATAATTGTTTATTTATTTATGACTATTAGAGTTGCTATGTTATTAACTATATTATTAACGATCAAGTTAGAGTTATAATATAGATGCTATATTATTAATTATCAAGGTGGAGTCATTCAGTATGCTAGCTCTCTGCAATTTTGTTAAATAATTATGCAGTTAAAGTACATATACTTTTACAGTGGGGCCTTGACTTAGGAGTTTAATTCGTTCCGTGACGGAGCTCGTAACTCAAATTACTCATATGTCAAATCACTGTGATGTTCGCTGCGCCAACTAGCGGTGGGGTATCTGAAGCTGGCTCGTAACCCGAATTTTAGCTCGCAACTCAACTCAAAGCAAAAAATCGGCCGAGAGACAGCTCGTATCTTGAAAAACTCGTTAGTCTGGACACTCGTAAGTCAAGGCCCCACTGTATATTTTCAGGTGTAGTGAAAGCACACACTGTGGATGCCAGACATATGCCCCAGCACCTACCTTTTCTGAGCCCACTAGATCTAGTTGCAACTGCCAGCAAGGGAAACTTTTTGCCTGAGGATTTTTTCTGGTAACTGGAGACCTCTCTGCCCTTGTGTGGACATACTGGGGGAATCATGTCCCAGGAGCAGTTCTCAACCAATGACTGTCAGGAGCTGATGGATAAATGCCCAAGCTTCTTTGCCCCTCACTGAGGATATCTACAGGGTTTGACACTGTCTCCAGAATTCCCCAGTGGGACTAAGGCCACCGGGGTAACTTGCTTGTTATGCACCCGTGATGGCTCTCTTCCCTCCCCTCTTCACTTCTCCATGCCCCTGTTGGCATTTCCTGGGTTAACTCCATATTCAACTACTTGCAATCTAATCCTAATCTCAGAGTCTCAGTTTCTAAGGGTAATCCAAAACAAAACTAAGATTCATATGTCAAAATTTACATTTTACCAATTTCTCTATTCTGATTATGTCCAAAAGAAATATAATGCAAACCACATATGTAATTTAAATTGTTTGAGTGTCCACATTTTAAAAAGCGAAAAGAAACAGGTGAAATTAATTTTAATAACCCAATTGTTTAACTCAGTGTATCCAAAACATTGTTTTAACATACAATTAATATAAAACATTAATGACTTTTTTTGTATAAAGTCCCTAAAATCAGGTGTGGATTTTACACTTATAATGCATCTCCATTCAGACTAGCCATGTTGCAAGCACTGGACAGCCACATGTAGCTAGTGGCTACCATATTGGACAGTGGCGATTAATTTCCAACTGTTATAACCATGTGTCAAAACTTAGAGACTTGCTAGCTCTTGAATATGTAAGAACCTTATGGTGGGCCACAGTTTCCATTCTTAGAAAAATTGTGCTTGCTTTGTCCTTTTCTTTTAAACTGAATGAAATATCTGTAAATATCTAGACTTATAGGCATCTTGTTTAATCTGTGTCCACATATTTTTAATATGGTTTTATTGAGTTTAAGAGAGAGAAAGGAAGGGAGAGGGATAGAGAGATAGAAACATCCCTGAGAGAGAAACATCATCCATTGGCTGCCTCCTGCATGCCTCCTACTGGGGATCGAGCCTGCAACTCTGGCATGTGCCCTGACCAGCAATGGAACCAGAGACCTCTTGGTTCCTGGGTCGACGCTCAACCCCTGGGCCACAGCAGCTGGGCTCTACATATTTATGTTCCTTCAAGAATGAGCCTCTGGCAATACTAATTCCGACACTTACTGCTTTGTACATGTTCCAATGCAGAATACAGACAAACTGCTCAGCATCTCTTTGTGTGTTTTTCAGGCCGAGGGTACCAGACTTCAGCGGGAACTCCGAGGATACTTAGCAGCTATCAAAGGTAACGTGTGTGCGTTGTTTACGGAATGTTACAAGCACAGGTTGTTCTTGGAATTCACGAGTGGCAAGATTGAGTGTTAATTACACCTCCATTTGGCTTTCTGGCAAGATGGCACTTGATCACAGGTGTTCTAATCCACCCACTCCCAAATCCCCACTAGAGTGATCATCAGAATATACAAAGAAAAAAAACACAGGGTGTCCCCAAAAATGTATACACACTTTCACAGCTGATAGCTCAATTCTGAAACTAAAATGTATTTTAAGAAACACTGCCTTTATAATTATTCAAAGTGTGTGTATACATATTTGGGGACACTCTATATGTCTGCCCTGATGCTGGAAACTAGAAATAAGTGCCTCCCACATGCAAGAGATTTCTAGGAAGAGTTGTGAGAGCAAGCTCGAGAGCTTAAGAAAAGCTGCAGCTGGTTTATATCCTGACCGAGAGCATGTCCCAGCACAGTTACAGAAGTCGGTATTTTGTGGAAGAGTCACACTCAAGGGGCCAAAGAGCCGCATGTGGCTCGCAAGCCACAGTTTGCCGACCACTGTCGCAGGAGAACACTCACAGAGTCACATTTCAGCCCTCTAGGTCAGCGGTCACCAACCTTTCAGACCTCTCGGACCACCAGTGGTCCACGGACCACCGGTTGGCGACCGCTGCTCTAGTTGACAGGGGCAAGAATCGTGGCAGAGACAGGAGTGGAGAATTATCAGGAGTCACAGCCGTGGACTGTCTGTGATTAGGGAGACCAGCCACACCTGTACCCCTGCCACTGTGTGGAGACAGAGAGGTGCTGGCATTGGTTTCTGCTTCAGCCATAAGAAGCAAAGAAATGAGGCCAGTGGTGGAGGGAGGAGAGAGCATTAGGGATGAGGGTTCCATTGCTTTCTGCCATGTGTCATCCAGCTCCCAGCACGGGGTCAGATCCTAGTGTACCCGCGGGTGTGATAGATCACAAGGCAGATTTTGAGATTAGTGGGGGGAGAATGGATTGTCTCACAAGGGGTCTTGAATAAACTGGCTAAACACTCAGAAAAAAGTGAGGTTCCCGTCCTCATACTCTACTCCCTCCTTTTTAACTCCAAATATAGTTAAAATTTAAATATATGTACGAAGAGGTATTCTAAAATAATAAAATAAGGTAAAATAAAAAATAGACTTAGTCTCTAGTCTGGGGTGTCAAGGTCTTTACCATGGTAACCCAAACACAAAAAACATAAAGGGAAAGATTGAGAAATTTAACCTTATAAGTATATAAAACTGATATATGTACGTTTAAAAAATTATTTAGGCAACACACTTAATGAAAATGAACCAAAATATAAAGAGCTCAGTAAGTAAACTAAAATTCTGAAAGAATTATAGATGTATAAATAAAACCAAAAGGAAGGTGATTTTATTTTTCTTCCTAATGTTTAAAGACATTAAATAAAAATGAAAACATAATACCTAGCATCAGCAAAGTTGTAGGGAGCAGACCCCTTTCAGGAGAGCAGTTTGGCAAAAGTCTTTTTTTTTTTAATTAATCCTCACCCAAGGATATTTTTTCCATTGATTTTTAGAGAAAGTGGAAGGGAGGGAGGAAGAGGGGGCAGAGAAAGGGAGGGAGAGATAGAGAGAGAAAGATAGAGAGAGACATCAACATCAACTTGGGAGAGACACACTGACTGGTTGCCTCGCACACGCTGGGTATCAAACCTGCAAGCCAGGTAATGCCCTTGACTGGGAATTGAACCTGCAACCCTTTAGTGCATGGCATGGTGCTTCAACTAACTGAGCCACCCAGCCAGGCTGACATTAGCCTTGGTTTACATTTGCAAAGAAGTAAAGCTCAGAGATTTTACTCCCACAAACTTACAAACTTCATGATTAACTGCACTAAATAATTAACCTCAACTATTATTATTAGAATAGTCCAGTCAGAAAATAGAAGGCACTCTATGAATTTCTTTAATTATTGGTTTAGGATTAGTTAGATAATATTTCAAACACAGAATTTTTTTCTGTTAGCTGGTTTTATAAAAGGTGGAAACATTTGTTGATTGAGTGAATTGGATCTCTTCCTCAAAATTTATATATTTTGGTCTAGTTTACCACTTTGTGGAGAATGCTGTTTAAGAAGACTGGCAGAATTCTTTTCCTTAACGTGGTCTAGAAGGAAAGTCCCTTAGTGAAGGGTGAGCTCAGAGAGACCCTGGGCGGATCATCAAAGCAACCTTTCACTCCACTGCTAATGGCCACGGCTCCAGAAGAGGGAGAAAGGACTTCTCTGTTTTCCCCCATCGCCTTTCACTGTCTGGATGATGTTAACAAATGGTACTCCACAAAAGAGACTCAGGTGTACATGACTTTAACCAAGATTGGCTAAAATGAATTTTTAAACAGGTTACTACAGAGTTTATCAGAACCCTTAATATTTCAATGCAATTGCCAGAGGGCCTAATGGAGTAGGAGGCATTTCCCAGTTATTTGACTGTGGGATACTTTTTTCTTTTCAAAATCTTACAGTTAGAATTTCTTGGAGCACATTGTGGGGTTTGGGGAACACACTAAAAGATGAGGGTTATGTGATAAGTAGATCACAATTTGTATTTTCAAAGTGCTTTCATGGCCAATTTTTCTGTTTTCACAGAAAGAAATCTAGCCACCTAATACTGCAGGCAGGATTAGAGAGGAACAAGATCGGGCCCTGGAGAGGTTATAAGATATACCATTGGGTTATAAGACATACCAAAGGAACCATCGTGGGAAAATCACTGAGTCTCTCATCTGTAAAGTCCTCCACTTGCTCTTAGAAGCCCCCAAATCTCTACCCCTGGGATTCTGTGAAATTGGGTTAAGCTCTACTCATCATCACTAATCTTACGTGGCATTCTTGGGCCTTTTAAGGTAGATCTTATGCTCTCATTCATTTTAGCAGCAACCATCACATTGAGCCTCACTTATGGGCCTGACACCGTTCTAGAGGATGGAGATGAGAGATGAACAAGACACAGCCTGCTGTTGGGGAGCCTGCAGGAGAGATGGGGAGAAAGTTGAATAAACAAAAAGGCAGATGTGCATCATAATACGCATTTTAACAGAAGTAAGCATTGTGTGCTGTTCTGTTGAAAAGGCTGTGTGTGCCAAGTGGCACCCAGATGCTGAAGGAGCCAAGAGACCCAAGAACCAGGCAGACAAGTCCAGCTTGTCGATTTAGAGAATTTGATAGGGAACTTACGTACTGAAATGGGTCCTGGGTGGTGGCAGGACATTCCTAGTTCTGCAACTTTCATCTTCTGGACCACCCTCTTTTATTCTGCCTTGAGATGGGGCTAGGTACTAGGAAAGGAGTGTGTGTGGTTAGGGTAAACTAATGAGGTAGATAACAACGAGGCTCCTTGCCCCAGAGGAAGGAGTAATGGAAATTCTGTGACTAGCCCGAAACCACTGTACATATTCCAGAGTCTACTCAGGGGTCAAAGGTTAGGGCTCATTCCCTCAAAAATTAGATTCAAGATGGACTCAGTTTTTCAAAATGGAGTCAGCTCTGTCCACATATGTGCCATCACAACAGAGGGCAGAGCCCCACTCTACTACATAAGGGACAGGATGCCAGGTCAGGAATTGTCTTTCCTAGGAACTTCCACTTGAATGGACCAAGAAAGAGAACATACCTGGTCATCAGGTTGTAAGATATACCAAAGAAAGAGGTTGGTATTGGAAGGAGCATCATGTACAAAAGCTCCGGAAGCAGGAGGGAGCATGGGCTCTTTAGGGAACAAGTAGATCAGTGAGGGGCAAGCAGGAAACAGCTGCATGAGACGTGGAAAGGTAGGCAGCATGTGTACAAAGAGGTGCTAATGTATTACATTATATTGGGAGTTTATTCTGCCAGTGGGAGGAAAGAGTGTCATTACATTATTGCAGGCAAGGGAATGAGTGATGTAATCAGATTAGCATTTTAGAAAAATAATTGTTGTGGTTGTTTGGAATTCAGGCTACAGGAAATGAAACTCCAAGGAGACGTAGAAGTCTAGCACAATAAGAATAATAGCCAACATTTATTGAGCTCTTATGTGTGATGCACTGACATAAGCTTTAACTGTTTAATTTCATGTGATTCTCACTGCAACCTGTGGCAAGTCCTATTATTGCTTAGTAATGTGTGCTTTGGAAAAAACGAGATTTAGGGTAGCTAGGTAATTTGCCTAAGATCGCACAGATGGTGTATGATGGAACCAAGATTTAATAAAGGCCGATTGATTGCAAATAATAATCTTAATTACTATGCCATACTGCCTCCAAAGTAGTTTTTATGAAGGCTGGCATTTGACTGTTTGCAGTGTGTTAGGTACTTGCTCAACCGTTTGCGTGGATTATTTGATCTCATCTAAGTAATAGATTATGGGTGCCTTTTGAGGGCTGTGGCAGTGGGCCTGGAAGGAAGGGACTTCATCTGAGAATCAGGCAGAATTGGCTTGTCTCGCCGACAAGTTCAGTGTGGGAGGATGCATGGAAGAGGTCTTCCAGTTTTCTAACTGGGACCACTGGGCAATATTCATGAGGATGGGGAAGAGGAGGAGGAGCCGGTTTTGACAGGAAAGTTAGAGGTACTGGTAAGACATCCAAGTGGGGATCTGAAATGAGGAGTCACTGGCATATGGGGAGGGGAAGAGGCCAGACACAGGGATAATGAACACATAACATCTGTCTCTAAGTCAGAGGTTCTCAACCTGTGGGTCGCGACCCCTTTGGGGGTCGAACGACCCTTTCACAGGGTCGCCTAAGACCATCGGAAAACACATATTGAATTACATATTGTTTTTGTGATTAATCACTATGCTTTAATTATGTTCAATTTGTAACAATGAAAATACATCCTGCATATCAGATATTTACATTACGATTCATAATAGTAGCAAAATTACAGTTATGAAGTAGCAATGAAAATAATTGTATGGTTGGGGGTCACCACAACATGAGGAACTGTATTAAAGGATCGCGGCATTAGGAAGGTTGAGAACCACTGCTTTAAACACTTCCTTTTACTTGAGGCAACCCCTGTCATCTTAAACAACTCTTTTCTAAACAATGGATAAAACTTACAATATTTCAGATATTCTATTGGTGGTTTATAGCTGTTTTTGGTTATCATTTTAACTGATATTGTTTTTAACTAAAACATATACCCTCAGGCAGCTTAAGCAAAGAGGATTCAGGTAGCAGTGTAATCTATGCAACATATCTTTGATGATAAAGAGAGACTCACAGATTTGGTTGCAAATGTAAATAGAGATTGTTACAATAAATGCCTTGGAGAAAGTCCAAAATTCTGAAGAGAGGGAAGTAGTCCCTATCTAATAGTAAAACAGAATTCTTCCACGAAAATCACAAATCTTTTAAGAAAATGTTAGCTATTAGATATTATTAAATGTCACATAGCGTCTATTCTGCTTTAATGTCACCAAATTGGATTAAAGGAAACAGGTTTTAGCTTTTTTCCTCTTATATCTGTCAGCAGAGTAAATTCTGAGTCCCTGAAATCTCCCTGTCAGTCTCTATGCTCCTTAAGAGCAAGGCGTGTGTCTTGTTCACTTGCACATCCATCCAGTACTTTGTATAGAGTGTTCTAGAAACAATTTCTATGTCAAAACAGATTCTTTCCAAATTGTCCATCATACTGAGCCACACAGCAATTAGTAGTTATTTTTGGCTGCTAGACATATTTACTGCAACATTTTGCTTTTAACCTCAATGAGTAAGGTCATATGAATTTTATTTTAAGCTTACATTCACAGTTTTATTTTTACCACAAAGGTTATTTGTCCTCTGATACCATTATTTCCTTTTCTTCCTGTTAAGGCATTAATAACCTATCTAAACAGCTATTTATAAGGAAAAAACTTCAGAAGACTTGCACATCTAAACATGGAAGGGGGTCATCCAGTGACTCTTGTGGTCTGAATTGCAGGGGTACGTTGTTAGTACAGACGCTTGTATATGATGTCCCAAAATTCATGCAAGATTTGCAATTGAATTGAATTTCAAATCCTGCATGAATTTTGGGACAAACTATACTTAGGGAGGGGCGAGTGTGGAAACTTGAGGTCCTGTTGCTGCCACCTCACAATGACCACACGTACAAGAGAGAGCATCCTCACGCGCTGGGGGACCGATGCAGCTGTTGGCATGATTTTTGGCTTTCCGCACACCTTCAAGACTCTCGCTTCCTCAGAGTCCCCAGGAACTGGAGTCATCACTGTTTTTCCCATCTTGTCTGCCTGGGCTTCCTCTCGTGTTAAGGTGTTTCCGCCTGTGGTAAAGGGCTCCTTCAACATGCTCAGTGATGTGCTTCATGGAGCGAGGCGTGGCCCTGGGTCACATTCCAGCCAGTAATGTGCAAAGACCAAATAGGAATCACCTTTTCAGGGAGAGGAAAGTGGGGCGTTCTGTGCCTGGAGAGTGAAAAAGCACTAGGAACTACCAAATCACATGTTGACTTTTGTACATCCTGTGCAAGGACATACTTCTGTCATTTCAGACATCTTCTTCTGTTTTGTTTTTCCTCTCACAATTGATCCCAGGATGGACTCCCTAAAATCCAACCAGCATGCGGCTGAGTCTAGACGGCTGCAGCTTTCAGTTTAACAAAAACTTTTCTATCTTTGATTCACTGGCATTAAGTTATGAGATGTGTTTTTGCTTCCAATGACAGCACTCGATTGTCCTCTGCTCTCCCTCTGTCCAGCCCCTTTTCCTACCCCCTAGTGACAAAGGCCAAGAAACCAGCTCAGCCAGGTAACCCCTTCCAACTGGTGCCGGAGAGGCACTCCTCCAAGTCTGCAGCCAAAGATTGCCCCTTGTTTGTTCTCAGTCTGAGCTGTCTCCATGGCAACCCACACTTCACCTCCTTGTTTTGAAGGAGGGGTAGAAAAGGTTTGGTGATCATTTATATCACCATGTTGCACCTGGAAACTTTATATCTTTCTTATTATTAATAGTCAAATGTCTTTCTACTGAGGATTCTGACCCATAGAGGTAAAAATGTTCTGATTTAAAACAGTATATATAGATTTTTAAAGAGAAAATGAACAAATGGGACTACATCAAAATAAAAAGCTTCTGCACAGCAAAAGAAACCATCAACAAAACAACAAGAAAACCCACCTCGTGGGAAAACATATTTGCCAACGTCATATCTGATAAGGGCTTAATCTCCAAAATTTATAGGGAACTCATACAACTTAACAAAAAGAAGATAAACAATCCAATCAAAAAATGGGCAAAGGACCTAAATAGACACCTTTCAAAAGAGGACATTCAGAAAGCCAAGAGACATATGAAAACATGCTCAAAGTCACTAATCATCCGAGAGATGCAAATCAAAACAACAATGAGGTACCATCTCACACCTGTCAGAATGGCCATCATCAACAAATCAACAAACGACAAGTGCTGGAGAGGATGTGGAGAAAAAGGAACACTTGTGCACTGCTGGTGGGAATGCAGACTGGTGCAGCCACTATGGAAGGCAGTATGGAGGTTCCTCAAAAAATTGGAAATGGAACTCCCATTTGACCCTGTGATCCCACTTCTAGGAATATTTCCCAAGAAACCAGAAACACCAATCAGAAAGGATATATGCACCCAGATGTTCATAGCAGCACAATTCACCATAGCTAAGATCTGGAAACAGCCTAAGTGCCCATCAGTAGATGAATGGATTAGAAAACTGTGGTACATCTACACGATGGAATACTATGCTGCCGTTAAAAAGAAAGAATTCTTACCATTTGCAACAGCATGGATGGAACTGGAGAGCATTATGCTAAGTGAAACAAGCCAGTAATGAAGGAAAAATACCACATGATCTCACTCTTTCATGGATAATTAAGACCATTACAAACTTTTGAACAATAATAAATACAGTGGCAGAGCTGCCTCAAACCGATTGTCGGACTGCAGTGGGAAGGCCAGGGAGGGTTGGGGGACAGGAGGGAGGGGAATAAGAGATCAACCGAAGGACTTGTATGCATCCATATAACCATAACTAATGGACATAAGACACTGGGGGGTAAGGGAGGGCAGGGGCTTGTCAAGGGTGGGGGGGAAAAAAGGACACTTATGTAATACCCTTTGTAATACTTTTAGCGAAAAATAAAAAAAAAAAAAAGATTGCCCCTGAGAAATGAAAGCATGGGAATTAAAAGGACATTTTTTAATGGTTTTAATCCTTACCAAATAATAATCTAGATTTTCAATAATATAAATGGAAAGAATAAAAGAACTAGAAAAAGAAAAAAGAGAGTGAGACATGGGAGTGTGGTAGTGAGAGGCATTTAAAAGTCTTAGGCCAGGACTATGGGGCAGAAGCTTTCCACATGTTGCTGTATCACAGTTATTTGGAAAACTGTCACATTTCTGATTTGCCTGCTTCTAAAAACTCCTGATTTATTCCATTTTCTATCGCCCAATAGTATGGAGGTATAAGAAATGGAAAGATAATGTCTTTTAACTGAGACATGACATAAAGATCAATTCCTGGAACTTTTTATGATTATATTCATGATTAACCTATGTTGCTACTTAAAATATTGGGGAAATCACTTTGTAAATTATATAATTGTCTAACCATTATGCTGTACACCTGAGCTAATATAAAATAATATTTAGTGTCAACTGTGATTGAAAAATAAAGTTGGGAAAAAATAAAATAAAATAAAACAGTATATATAGATTTTAATAATATTGGAAAAAGAAAACCTTTATTTTGTCCCCTTTAAAAATTGTTAGGCCACTTAAACCAGTTTCAACGTTTATGTCCTAAAATTGTGTTGATTTTGCTTCTATCTGCTTCTAAAAAAATGCTTTATTTCTTGTATTTAAAGTTATTTAAATTAATTTCATTTTTAGGAGTCTGTAGTTTTATGGACAAGTATTCTAGGTGTCCTATTCATTTATGGTTCCATGCTGTTTAGCAAGTGACAGCACACATAATAGGACATATTTTTATTATTGTTGTTTTCAGAATAGGACACCTGATTCATATTATCAAGACCCGATATCTATCAGTATCACGCAAATAACAGAAAATGCAAACTATAGTCAGATAAGTCTTTTTTTAAAAAATATATTTTATTGATTTTTTACAGAGAAGAAGGGAGAGAGAGAGAGTTAGAAGTATCGATGAGAGAGAAACATCGATCAGCTGCCTCCTGCACACCTCCTACTGGGGATGTGCCCGCAACCAAGGTACATGTCCTTGACCGGAATTGAACCTGGAACCCTCCAGTCCATAGGCCGACACTCTATCCACTGAGCCAAACCAGTCAGATAAGTCTTATAGACCCTCAAGCAAAGATATAATTACTGATGCAATTAGCAGTTGTGCCTCCACAATTTTTGCTTAAATGATTAACAAAGATTTTTCTCTCACTTGGAAGGAGGAAGAAACTCCTCATCTATTTCTATCTAACAGGAGTTGTTTTTCTCCAACACCAGGCATGCAAGAAGCCTCGATGAAGCTCACCGAGTCACTGCACGAAGTCTATGAGCCTGATTGGTATGGGCGGGAAGATGTGAAGACGGTTGGTGAGGTAAGAGCCAGGATGGCCCCACACAGGAGGCCTCGGGGGGCTTCTGTGAGTCTCCCACCGAATGCTGCTCACGCAGCCTGTTCCCCGACCCCCTCTTACCACTTCTCAGCCTTAATCATGAGGGGACAGACACCATGTACACTCCCAGGCACCATGTACATACACAGGTATGTAACATCTCTGGGCTTCAGTATTCTCTTTTGTGTAATGGCAACAATAAGACTTTCCTCATAAAGCTATTGTGAGAATCAGGTGACATGTGTGTACATGCATACGTATTTAACCCAGTGATTTTCAATTGGTGTACCTCAACCGGTGTGCTGCAAGAATTTGTAAAACATGCAGTACCTATTTATTCAGAGGCACTGACCTTTTTTTTTCTTAGACTGTCAAAAAAATTAACAACAGCCTACACAATAATAGCCACCCTGTGTGAATGAATCAAAATTATACCTATTTTTGTCAGATCAGCAAAAATATATATTTTTGGTGTGCCACAGAATTTTAGTAATTTATGTGTGCCAAAGATGAAACAGGTTGAAAAACACTGATTTAACCCAATGCCTATACATAGGAATAGTAGTAGGAATAATAATAATAATAATAATACCTACTATTCATTGTGTCTTTATCATAATTGGAAGGTGCTTTTTCCATTATGACTGTAAATTTTCTTTTCTCTCTGTGGAAGCTTCAGCAATGGTTTATTGTTTGTTGGAAGTGGTTTCTGATTTCCTGGAAGGCTTTGGAAGCAGTCTACATGAAATTCTTCACAGTCCCAAAGGTCGCCTGTGAAGAATGTGGGGATCTACGTTCTTTTTTTTAAAATATATTTTTATTGATTTTAGAGAGAAAGAGAGAGGGAGAGAGAACTAGAAGCATCAATGCTGAGAGAGAATCATTGATCGGCTGCCTCCTGCACCCTGGGCATGTGCCCTGACTGGGAATTGAACCGTGACCTCCTGGTTCATAGGTCAATGTTCAACCACTGAGCTGGTCGGGGTCAACATTCTTTATAATTCAGCATCAGAAATTTGTTAATGAGCTAAAACTTTAAACAACCTATATTGTCATTTAGAACTGGTAGCCAAACAGCCTAGAGATTTTATTGTATTATTAAACAATCCACATTCTTTCTAGCATCTACTATCTGGGGACGTATTAGTTATCTAACTTTTTAGTTTCAGAATTTTTTGAAAGTTTAGTGAAAGGTATTCAGTTATCTCTCTTTTTTTTCAGAAATGTGATGTGCTATGGGAAGACTTCCATCAAAAACTAGTGGATGGGTCCCTGCTGACACTGGATACCTATCTGGGCCAATTTCCTGACATAAAGGTATTTTACTCTGTGTCTATAAAGCAAAGAACCAAATGGTCCCAGGTGCTTATTGAAACATGGGCAAGAGGAGTCAAAGACAGTTGGTAACTTTTCATTTATTTAATGATATTTTTTATTCTGTCCTATCCATTTGAAATAAAATGTAGTTAGAAAATTTCATTTTCCCCTTTCGTTAACTGCTTTAGCTTTTCTCTACATAAGTCTTTTTACTCCTATAGCTATCAAGTCAGAAATCAGAGGTTCCCACCAAATTTTAACCTTTTTTATTTTGAAAATGTTTTATTATATACCATTTGACAAGAATGTCCATTAGAATAAACAGCAGTTACAAGGAAAGGAGAAACTTCATTGCAAATGTGAGGGCAAAGTCTGTTCTTTCTTTGTGAACTGTTTATTTTGCATGTGTCCATAGCACACCTGCATATTTTTTCTCTCTTGAAATTTCAGTTTCAAATTGAACTACATTTGACCCTTGAACAACATGGGATTTAGAGGTATTGACCCCCATGCAGTAAAAAATCCACATATAACTTTTGGTGCCCCCAAAACTCAACTACAGTTGACCTTGGGTATTCATAGGAGATTGGTTCCAGGACCCCTGAGGATACCAAAATTCATGGATGCTCAAGTGCTTTATGGTATATAAAACGGTGTCTAGCAGCGCATACAGTCAGCTCTCTACTGCGAATTCAAAACTGTGGATTGAAAATACTGTTTTGATCTGTGTTTGGTTGAATCTGAAAATGTGAAACTGGAGGGTAAGACTAGCCAACGTATATTTATTGACAAAATCTACGTATAAGTAAGTAGACCTGTGCAGTTCCAATCTGTGTTGTTAAAGGGCCAATTGTAATAGCACATAAGCATTTCAAATTCATTTGCATTTGGATCTAAAAATATCTTGTCTAAAACATTTGGCTTATGTGACGCTTGGAGCCACTGAAAGGGAAATACACAGGTGAAGGTTTGAATATTGCAGATATGGAATTGATCCTGGAGGTAAAGATGGTTTGTAAACCATCTGGGTTGTATACAGCAAATGCTACCCTTAATAAGCTGTCCCGTTGCCTAAAATTGCTTTCCCTGATCAAAGAAGAGTGTCAGGTAAGACAGCCACATATTTTCCTTCCTCTAGGGTGAGAAGGCCATGAGCCAGCGTCTGTGGGCATCGGCAATTTCTTATTAGGTGACTTCTGATGGGAAGTTCCATTCTTTTTTTAAAATATATATATTTTTATTGATTTCAGAGAGGAAAGGAGAGGAAGAGAGAGATAGAAACATCAGTGATGAGTGAGAATCATTGAGAATCATTGACGGCTGCCTCCTGCACACCCCCTACTGGGGATTGAGCCTGCAACTGGGCATGTGCCCTTGACCAGAATCGAACCTGGGACGCTTCAGTCCACAGGCCAATGCTCTACCCACTGAGCAAAACCGGCTAGGGCAGTTCCATTCTTACCTTCCCTTCTTTGGAGCCATTGCCAAACACCAGGGAACTATCTGCAGTAACGTGCACTGGCCTTGGCCATGAAGCATCGTGAAGCGTCTTGGCCAAAAGAGCCTTCATATCAATAAATTAGTTTTCGTGGGCCCACCCAGAATTCCTAACACTATTGGCCAACATCTCAAAAGTGTGTTTTGAGATACCAGGGGCACCCATCAAGAACCTAAGTGGATCAGACTAGATACATTAGCCTTTTTGGCAAAATGTCACAGAGAACAATTCCAAATGATAGATTCTCAAGAAGTTATCATAACAGCAGCAGAAGGCTTTATTGAGCCATTGCCTAAATATATCCAATTGAAAGGTAAATGTCAGTCTTCTTAATTTGATAAAACATTAAAAAATTAAATTAAAAACATTTTTTTAATTCTGTAAGACTGCATGCACTAGCCTACAGGAAGCATGTTTTTGGCTATCTTCAAATTATTTGATAATATTCAGATTTTATCTTGGAATTTATAGCATTTGTGAAGAAAATAGTCTCAGAATCATTATCACACTTTAAAGTATCATTTACTGCATGGCGATTTAACCTCCATAAAAATAACTTCCCAACTAATTAGGAGAGGATAAAGGAAAATTTTGTTCTCCTACTTGAAATTTTCCAAGCAGCTTGTGACGATGTGTCTAAATTGTTCATATATATACTCATAGTATGACTTCGCAAAACCAATGAAGGTAGTGACTGACTATAGAAGACACATAAGAAAAGTTGTTGAGTTTCACAGCAAAAATTTAGTGTCATCAAAAAAATGTGAAGAATCTCAGTTTTGCCCTAGCTGGTTTGGCTCAGTGGATAAAGCGTCAGCCTGCAGACCGAAGGGTCCCGGGTTCAATTTTGGTCAAGGGCACATACCTTGGTTGCAGGCTCCTCCCCAGCCGGGCCCTGGTCAGGGCTCATGCAGGATACAACCAATCTATGTGTTTCTCTCACATCGCTGTTCCTCTCTGTCTTTCCCTCTCTCTTCCACTCTCCCTAAAAATCAATGGGAAAATATCCTTGGGTGAGGATTAACAACAACAACAACAAAAAAGAATCTTAATCTTAGTTGTTATGGTACTGCCCAGCAATAGTTACTTGGAAATTGGCCATATTTCAAAAGACAAATGCACACAGAAGTACCTGCATTGCAATATGGAGATTAAAATAAAATCATGATGGACTATATCTTTTTAGTGTGTTCCATGTCAGAAAGATGAAGGACTCAGTAGCACTTCTACTTAAGCAGTTCTTTTCTTGAGATCATGCACAAAGATGATCCTCCAGTTACTGAAACGTCTTTACACTAGAGATTTGGGAATAATATCTGTGTTGATACACTGAAGATAAATGAAATATATGTCATGGTTTTACCTGTATCATGGAACGAGGCTGAAACAATCTCTCTCTCTTGCTGTAGCATACACATAGAGTTTCAACCCAGATAGAAAATTGTGCAACCGTGTCCTATGACGAAGAGTTGAGGAAATAGCAATGTTTAACTTGGAAAGGAAACAATTTGGAATTGCAGAGGTGGGGGCGGGGGGGCGAATAGCTGTTTCTGTTACTTGAAAGACTTTTCTTCTGTGAAAAGGAAGTTAGAAGTGGATATAGACTTGATTTCTTTAAAAAGTTAGTGCCAACTGGTTATGGAATGAATGGGTTATTAATGGAAAGGAGGATTATGATTAAAAATACTGAGTGGAGAATTTTCACAGCATGGAACACAGTTGACTTCCTTCCCTCCCATTAAAATCAACAGGCCATGTGTCTTAAAACTTCAGGCAAATTTCCAAATATTTACTGCAGCTCATCAGTGAGGTCTATGGAGTACCATTCATGAGGGGATATGTTTGACTTCTCCAACTGTGATTGGCAGGGCACCCAGTGTTATGGTTCTTATTATGCAGCATTAATGTCTGAAACCAATGTTGTAATAAGAGCCAGCTTGTCACTAACCCAGGCAGGCTTACAGCTGTGAGCAGTTATTGTAAAATGTAGTTTAGATTCTATCTAGCGACCAAGCATGAGCAACTAATTATATATTTACAGCATGGTGCCAAAATGAATCCCAAACTGGGGTAATTATCGAAATTTTAAAAATGCAGTAAAATACTTTTTTTTACTGTATAAGGTCAGTACACAGTGGAAAATCTAAAGAAATTTAGATTGGGTTGGATGGATGAAATAAGAATTGTATCATTTTCTATATAAAAGCTAAAGTGCATTAACTCTACCCTTACTTAGGAGATTCGGTTCTCTTTTTTCAAGTTTCCCAAATATCAGATAGATAAGGAAATAAGATTGATTTGTTTTTCTAATGCAAAACTGCCTGCATCAAAATGAGGAATGGCCTTCAACATAGTCACTTCTGCATGGTGAGTTGTACTCTGTAATTGACTTGTCTCACACAAAAATAAGCCACATTATTTACTTCACTTCTTGGTTTGAACAAAATCTAAGATGACCAAGTGCACTATTTCATCTTATTCCCAGGCTTGGAAGTAATTGAATTTTGGCTGCTTTCGAAAATCTAATTCATCTTCAGAGAATCAAGGTTTTTCTTCTTGGAGCAAAGTCCACAAAGCAGAGCTTTATATAAGTTTGCCTATAGTTACACAAGGCCACTGTTTCAAAGGACAGTTTTCCTTTGGATATAACAGATATTTGCTAAAAATGATTAGCTCTGTCATCCCATAGGCCATTGTATCCACCATATTTTATTGAAGGACTCTTTTTACCCGGTCTGGGCTTATTCATCACATATTTTTAAGTGAATGTGGTGTGTCAACCATACTTTCCACTACTAACAACAGCTGGAAATGGTAGGTACAGAGGGTAAAATGAAAGAGATTGGAATGAGAGAAACTTCCCCAGCCCACCTATCACCAGCCCTGAAGGGTGTGTAGAGGAATATCATAGAGTGACAGATGGTAATAATTGAATGATAGTCTGCCAGAGAAATATGGGAGCTGGTAGAAGTTCTACCAAGAGTTGGGAGTAGGTCTGGGACTAAGTGAGGCAAGTGAGGCCATTAGGATTCAAAATTATTAGGAAGCACCTCTTCCTGGTTGGTGATCCTGCACTTACATGATCCTGAGGGTGAGAGCCTCTTAAGATTTGTGCCCTAGGTGTCTCACTTGCCTCACCCTCCTCTAGGCACTGGTGGGTAGGGGAGCTGTTATCTAATTTATCATTTGGTACAGACTTCCTAAGCAATTCTGGACAAATTAGAGGTTAATATCTTCTCTTATGGGTTGTTACTCGTTTCTTATGGGTCCTATTTCATAATTTTTTATTGAATGCTTCACAGCATATATAGAAAAGTAAAGATTGAGGTAATATTTATGTCTTTTTTGTCAGACTATTGGTGTGGGAGTTCAATCAATGTAACTGTAACTTGAGCTGGGTTTGGGTTTTGTTGTCATTTGTTGTTACTTTCAGTGCACTCTGGCTTTATGGCAGCGGTTCTCAACCTGTGGGTCACGACCCCTTTGGAGGTCGAACGACCCTTTCACAGGGGTCGCCTAAGGCCATCCTGCATATCAGATATTTACATGACGATTCATAACAGTAGCAACATTACAGTTATGAAGTAGCAACGAAAATAATTTTATGGTTGGGTCACAACATGAGGAACTGTATTTAAGGGGCCAGAAGGTTGAGAACCACTGCTTTATGGGCTATACTGCTTTGTGCTTGTGCAAACACCTATAATGTTTTCAGACTCTTAAGTTGAAGTCTAGTTTTTGCTTCTTTTTTGACTCACATATTGTGGGCCGATGGATGCCAGAGAGTTTTTCTCAGTGTTCCTGCTCCCCATCAGATTTAAGTTGTCCTTTTATGCCTGCATTGCAGAGGGCATGTGGTCTTTCGCTGTGAACTTGTCTATCCTCCAGTGGTAGGCAACTATCGCTTGTTTTCAGTACTAGACTGGTCGTGGGAGCGGGGCTGTTTTCTGTTATACTCTCTTGTCCTTGTGTTAGGTAGACTTTACCGTGTACCTTTGGTTGGTCTTGAGCAGGAGTTTTCTGCCTCTGCCCTCGTGAGAAGCCCCCTCTGTTATATCTTGGACACAAGAAGATTTTATGTCTTTCCCACGTGGGTGGCCACTTACCCTCTGGGTGGCAGTTATCTCTGCAGGCATTCTAGGGGCCAGAGGGGTTCTATCCTGTCACCAGAGCAGATTGGTTTTGCTTCTACTTCTCAGAAGCAGCGGATCTTCACCTGGCCTCTGCAGGCGAGAGGACCTGTTGCTATCTCCTCCAACAGCTTAAAGCGTTTGCTCTGTAAGAGGAACAGGTCTCTGGAATCGTTAGGGCTTTGTGTCCACCCCCAGCAGTCAGAGGTCCCCTCATCCTCCCCGCACTGCAAGGGACTTTCTTGTCCTCAACCTTCTGATACATCGAGTAGAGGCCCAAGGAAAGGGCTCCCCATAAATGCAATGTCTCCTTGTGTCTTGACACCCAACTATTCTAAACTACACGTTAGCCCCCACTAAGCCTTTGATGTTTTGTTAAAATTTTAGTTGACCTCTTCTTACCCATTTGCATCTAGGAGACAACTTTTACCTGTGCCCTGCCACGGTGAAATGGCTCGCATGTCTCTTCTTTCATTGGAGGGACTTGCCCCTCTTTAGAATTCAGATTATTTTATTGCCTTGTGACCTCAGGTCTCTGATACGATCAAGAAAATTATGTTGTTATGGATTATTCAGATTTGTTCGTGTTTATGTGGGAGGGATAGTCTTTGCAGCTCTCTGTGTCCTGAGGGCAGAAGTCTCTAGGAATCCATGTATTTTTTAAGCTCCTGAGATGACTCCAAAGAACAAACAGATTGAGGAACATGTCTAAGAAAAAAGGATTTTTATTCCTAAGAATCTACTTTAGAGAACCGCTTTATAAATATAGAACTGCTGTTAGTGCGCATGTAATTAGAATTATAAAGCTAATTCTACTATAGTCTTCTACTATTTTGAAAATAGAACATTTAAAGATTTAAAATACAGGCTAATCAAGTGAATAGGTTGGCCTGCTTCTCTCAACCACTACTAGAATTTTTCTGGTCTTTGACTATAAATTCTGCTTTCTACTCCTCATGACTGGTTTGATTTTTATCAGAAGGGAAGCTATTTACCTAATGGTTTTCACACAAATGATTGAAGGCAGTAGTCTGATTTCCAGGGGTCACTTATCTACTAAAATTCCAGTTCACCTTGATCTCCAGCTAAGATCTCAGCTACTCTGGACAAAGGAAGCATTTTAGCAGTAAAAAAAAAAATAAATTTTTAAAAAAAAATCTCACCAGGTCTCTTTCTTCACGCACATATTTTCCATCGGCAGAATCGCATCGCCAAGCGCAGCAGGAAGCTGGTTGACTATGACAGTGCCCGTCACCACCTGGAGGCTTTGCAGAGCTCCAAGAGGAAGGACGAGAGTCGAATCTCTAAGGTAGGGAGTGATCTTTCTGTTGAAACCATTCCATATTCTGTGACCTATAGCAACTTTGCTTCTAAAAATGAAATATTTCCTTTTTAAAGGATATTGGGATCAGGATGGAATTTAAACTGAAACATGGTGCTTGTGGGCTGCTTTCCATAATTTTTAGTTAAAGATAAGGTTTTTGATATTATTGTAGAGTTCTCCTGGGTGACACGACTCATGCATTTTGATCAGAATAGACTTTGCCCCCCAACAATGCTGTAGGATCAGAGAAAGTAATGTGTCCCTGTACTTCTCTCTGTGTTTGTGCTCCACCCTTGATGCTAAAATGCAGATGCAGATAGGGAACCGAGTTTGAAAATCTCAGACATAACTTGTGATTGAGAGTACAGACATGTGCTAGATTTGCATAGCATTCATTTTCTTTTAGGAAACCCATTTTAGTAACTTTTACAGTATGTCATACATTTACAGATGCCGCTTAATTGATGACACCTGATAACTACTCCCTTCTCTTCCAGTCTTGCTTCCTCCTATCTGCCTACACACAGCTGCCTGGTCTTCCTACAGCACATATTTAGATATGTTTCTCATTGCTTACGTCTTTTAATGGCTTCCATTGCCTGTAGAAAAATTTTAAATTGCTTAGCACAGCATGTGCAACCTTCTCTATTTGGTTGTGACTCATCCTTTTATCCTTATCAACTTCCATGAATTTTTTTCCTCTCCTCTCCTTCTGTGCCCACATCCTGAGCTAGAGCCTCCATGACCTACATATCAGTTCCTGAGCAGCCACAATAACAGTTGTTCTTCATGTGAGGCCTCAGAGATACCAGCCACATGTTCAACACTTCATCTACGTCACCTTTCCTTAATACTCCCACCACCTGTCAGTGGGCATTACTACCTCCATTTTATGAATGAGGTAGCTGAGGTAAAAAGTGATAAGACAAATGGACATAAGACACTGGGGGGTAGGGGAAGCCGGGTATTGTCAAGGGCGGGGGGAAAAAAAGGACACATATGTAATACCCTTTGTAATGCTTTAAGCAATAAAAATAAAAAAAAAAGTGATAAGACAAATTCACAAGATTAGTGCACTGAAATTCCAACCCAAGGAACTCCATCTTTATGTATTGCAATGCTTTAGCCTCTCCCTTCTTCAAGATTCAGTTAAAAAAATATTCCCTTCTCTATGGAACCTTTCTTTCCACCATCTTCCACAACAACATACTTCATAACATTTTACAAGTCCTGTCTTTCAATGTAATTTAGACTTCCCACTAGACTGGGGATTTCTTAGGGAAGCATCCATATTCGCATCCAGAGCAGTGTGTAACAGGCCGTTAACAGATTTTTATAGAATGAATGAATCTGCCAGAGAATGTAAGAGCACCCATTGTATTCAATTCAGTTTTCCTAAAACTTAATATTTCACATTTATTGAAAAAAATTATGTAGGTAAAAAGCAGAGTGATTTTTCTTCTACCCAAAATGTTTTCAGGATTCCATAAAGCTATTCCTATTTTATATTAAACTAGTAGTGGCCCGGTGCATGAAATTTGTGCACTCAGGGGAGGGGTTCCCAGCCTGGCCTGGCCTGTGCCCTGTTACAGTGTGGGAGCCCCGTGATCCATTGCCCCAAAGAGGTAGGACCTGCCCACCCATTCGGGGCTCCTTGATGGATTGCCCCAAAGAGGTAGGCCGGAGCCGGGGGAGGCCTGTGGACCCCTGGGCCTGACCACAGCAGAGGCCTGTGGACCCCCGATGCAGGCACGCAGAGAGGCCTCAGCTGTGCCCCACCCCACCTCCCCAATGCTGCAAGTCCCCGCCCACCTGTGTCTGCTGCGCACGCAGCCTCCAGCTGATCGGTCGTTACCCGTGAGGGCATCCCGACCATTTGCATATTACCCTTTTATTAGTATAGATGATTAAGTTGAAATGGCTTGTTATGTGATTTTTTTAAGTGTAAACACATGTTATGTGTCATTTCTAGGCAGAAGAGGAATTTCAGAAAGCACAGAAAGTGTTTGAAGAGTTTAACGTTGACTTGCAAGAGGAGTTACCATCGTTATGGTCAAGGTAAAGATGTTCTTGTACAGGTTGTACCTGTCCCTTTTAGAAGTTTAAGAACAGTGAATATACAGTGAATATGCCGTATCTTGTTCTTGTTGCCTGTGACAGTTCAGCGCTGTCAGTGGAAGTGTTCTATAGTCTACACTTTCCCATATGGGAGATACTTGCCACATGTGGCTGGCTGTTGAGTACTTGGAATGTAACTGAATTTTAAATTAAGCTTATTTAGGTTTGATTCACTTAGATTTAAATAACCTCACGTAGCTAGCAGTTGCCATATTGGATGTCACAGTTAAACCTTGATATAGTTATCAAGTGGAGACTCAAATCTCAATTAAAGGCATTAGGAGAATTTCTCTTAACCCTGAAGTTTACAAGGATACCCTCTCACATAGCATTTACACTCAAGAAACTTATTCTAAGGAAATAAGTGGTAAAGCTATGCACATTTTAATTCATAGATCTTCATTAGGGTTTGGTTCATCATAGTGACATATTAATGAAAATAAAACAGTACTCATCAATCAACTTCAGCTACCTCCCCCCATCTGCACCCACCTTCTGTTTAAATCTGATCTGCTCTTCAGGACAGCCTATGTTTGTCTTCTCAAACAGATGTTCGCAGCTGGCACAGGGCTCCTTATTCCCCTCACCTCTCCAGTTCCTTTAGCTGTTTCTGTCCGATCTAGTTATTATTGATATTTAGTCATGTATGGCCTTTGTGATAACCTTTGTGATAACTTTAACATTTACACCCTGCTTCTTTCCCTTACCAGTATTAATGGAGCCTGTGTTCATTAATCAGTCTCCTCTAATGAGATTGTTAGTTCCTGGAGCCACCTTAGCCCACCACCAGGCAGGCACCCAGTGTTGGATAAGCCCTTTGTTGAGTAATGGAGGGAGGTATGAGGAATCACTGACTGGTTAACTGGGGTCCTGGAAAAGGGGTGCTGAGTTGTCACATAAAGTGCCCAAGAAGACTTCTCTGCCAACAATACAATGAGTCGGGTCCCCTGCACGGTTGTCGGGATCTGCAGTCTCTCCTCTCCTATGCAGCTTTTGTCTTAGTTACTTTCTCAAATGCAGGTCCAGGCCCTCTCCTTTCCCCTCTTGCAAACATGGCCAGAGGCCACCAATAACCATCAGGCAGGTCCTCTGTCTCAGAGCACAGGTCTACACCACCAGGCTCTGTCTCCTTGGCTTCTGGTCTGACTCTCTTTAGTACTTACTATTTCCCAAGCACCCTGTCCCAGGATTTTCTTTATTAATATATGTTTACATATGTTTATATAATGTGAAGGCCTGAGCTTGGAGCAGGGTCAGGCTAGAAGGGCTCAATGGGGGAAATGGGGGGACATATGTAATACTTTCAACAATAAATATTTATTTAAAATACAGTTTTGCTCACTGGTCTTTCCCTTCTATTCTTTCCTCTTGGTATCTCCACATGGTAGACGAGTTGGATTCTATGTCAATACCTTCAAAAATGTCTCTAGCCTTGAGGCCAAGTTTCATAAGGAAATTGCCGTGGTGAGTAATGGTGATTACTTTTACACATGGAATATAAAGTAAAGGAACATTTATTCTGGAACAAATGAGGTGGCATAGCATACAAAGAATGCGTTCACTTGCATGTTGTTTTTAATAGTGTATTATTACTCTTAGTAATATTCCAAAAATTTTTTGTTATGACCATATAGTTCTCTATATCTGACAAAGATTTTAGTGCGTGGGCATACAAACATGCTCTCATGAATCACTTGCTGCTTTGATTTCTCTTCTGAAATTACTTTTGTCATTGTCACAGTTTCAGAGTTTTGGGTTTGTTTGTTTTTCAATCAGTTATTAATGTTGGAGTTCTAAGTGATACTTTAAGCTGAGGAAAGTATGTCTCCAAATATTCAGATAATCAGCAGATGTGCTGTCCATTGGTGTTCTCTTGGTTTAGCAGCTGGTTGTTTGTACGACTTTATCTCTAGTAGAGTCCATGTAAACAGTTATTTTTTTTGTTTTCTGTTCTGTACTCTGGTTAAGAAATATGTTTAAAGTTTTAAAAGTTTATTTGTGTTTGTGACCTTTTTGACACAAATTCTAACTTTTCAATAAACCTTTTTGGGGGGCAATAGCCTGAGTAGGCATCAAAATGATTTGCAGCTAATAGACAGGTGGCCTCTGTCCCCTTAGCTTTGCCACAAACTATATGAAGTGATGACGAAACTGGGCGACCAGCATGCTGACAAGGCCTTCACCATTCAAGGTGCTCCCAGGTAGGCCTTGTTCATCAGAGTCACGTTCATGACTGTTCACTTTTAATGCAATGCTTGTTGCAATTTCTGCAGTCTGTATCAGCCTAGGCTATTTTACTCATCCTATAAAAATCTAAAATGAAGGAGCCTTTCCTTATAGAGGCAGACACCAGCCTTACTTAGTTTTATGCTTTTTCATATTTTTAAAAATATATTTTTTTATTGATTTCAGAGAGGAAGGGAGAAGGAGAGAGATAGAAATATCAATGATGAGAGAGAACCATTGATTGACTGCCTCCTGCATGCCCCACACTGGGGACCAAGCCTGAAACCTGGGCATGTGCCCTGACTGGGAATCAAACCCTGACCTCCTGGTTCATAGGTTGATGCTCAACCGCCGAGCCACGCCGGCCGGGCTGCTTTTTCACATATACCTTCAGCCTCCAGATTTACCTACCATGGCCTTTTCTCATCTTCACCATAGAATTGACTATCTGCCTCTTGGCATTCCATGGGAACTGAGAGCAATGGTATAAATTTTTAACATATAATTTCTAGTTGTGCACTTGTTATTTTTTTGGAGAAGAAAGGAATTCCCCAAACTCATAACAGTTAACCCTGATATTTATCATTGGTGGTGACATACTTAAAGAATCCATTTTCAGAAAGGAAAGAGAAAGTAGGTGAGACCTCACCATCATCTTGCCTCCTAACTCCACCTGACAAGCACAGCATTGCTTTGCTTGTATTGCATATGGTTATTTTGAGTGTGCCAATCAAGTAAGTACACCAAAGGCCCACTGATCCACAGGCGAAGTATCTGTGTTGCCAGGGTCGTTGGGCTTTATATCAGCTTTCTCCTGTGATTTGGGAATCCCTTTTATTCTATCCGTCGCAGACATTATATACTCAAGGAATGCAGGCCTTGGGCTGGAAGTCCAAAGACCCAGCTTTCAGTTTTATGACTCTACATGTAGTTAACATGCATTGCTTTTCTTAAGTCTAAGAGCCTCTCTGGTGAGAGATCTCATTTTTTCAATCAGTAGGGGGGAAAGATGCTATTGGAATAAACAGTATTAATAGGCAGTGTGAAATTCTACATTTGCAATTTTAACATCAATGTGTACATTCACACACATACATTTATAGAAATACATATATTTCTATAAATATATAGAGCATGTGAATACATATATTTCTATAAATATATAGAAATATATGCTCCACCATCTCCATCTGTCAATGTGAGGTCTCTCTGGAGGAAGCTGATATTCTTATCATTGCTCTTTGCATTAGCTGTATTCATAGTCTCTGCTATGGCTTCTGTATGTACTAAGTGGGCATGAAGTGTATCTTCTCCTTCTAAGGGAAAGAATATTTCCTAAAAGAATGCATGAAATGGGTAGAGCTACTGTTTCCAATATAGCTAGGAACAAAGTAAGAAGTAATATCAAAATGACATTTGGGTGTTTTAGAAATACAATACATCAACAAAATTAAGGATTGCTCCCTTATGGAGAGATGAAAGGGATAAATGCATCTGAAAACTTCAAAGTTGATAAATCAGATAAAATGGAGAGAGTGGGGCCATGGTCATTTAACAAATGTTCCTTTCACTTTCTGTTCAATGTTCCTCTGCAGAACGAGGTGGTGAGTGAGCTCAGTGGGATCTATCTCAGTTAAGCATAGACTGGGGCGGGGCTTCCCGACAGAGGCCGTGATGGCTGGCCCATGGCCCGGTCCTGGGGTGTGGCCTTGTTCTCGCTGTAGCACCCATTTCCCTGTAGACCATGCTGCTGTGTACATGCTCATTTGGTTTGGGATGCAGGTCCTGTTCCCTCAGCTACAGACTTTTGAAATTCTTAGAGAGCAGAATGCATCCCAAATGCCCTCTTAGTCATTAAATTTGGGCCGTTCACTAGCACCTGGCCTGGTGCCATGGGTGTGGTGGGTTGTCAGTAAATATTTCTGACTCCGGTCCATCACATAATTTGTTTGCACATTTCAAGGTGCCTGAGTCGAGTCATTGCTCTTTAAGGTGTGGAAGCAGAAACAGTTAATGAAATGAATTTCCAAATGGTATCAGGAGGCACTCCCACGAAATTTTAATTAACATTACCCTAAGGATGCCTTTTAACATAAAAGTTATACTTTTCAAGGAAGGTTTTTCTATAGATTACGACATAGCAAGATTCTCCTATAAATCAAAAGTGAGATTAGTTCATTCAATTCAGCTTATGTTTGAGAGTCTTACAGGGCCTGTTTGGGTCAGTGGAAAGATCAAGGGTTGCATTCGTAAGGCCTGAATTCAGATCCAGTAAATTGTCGAGTGACTTTAGGGATTTTTAACCCCTCTGCATGTGTATTGTGGTGATTAGAGATAATCTATGGACAGGGTCTGGCACACAGTGGTCAATAAATGGTACTAGTTATTACATCAACGTTCATAAGCATCAGAATTAACCTGGAAGGGGGAGTAGATAAATAATAGCTGTTAGGGCTCAGGATTTCTCTGGAGTGGAGGACCCCTGATAAATAAATACTGCTCCTTAGAAGGCCCCTTGGTCACATCTCCTGTGTTCATCTAGTGACTCGGGTCCTCTCCGCATCGCAAAGACACCATCACCGCCCGAGGAGCCTTCACCCCTCCCGAGCCCGACAGCCAGTCCCAATCATACGCTGGCGCCTGCATCTCCCGCACCAGCACGGCCTCGGTCACCTTCTCAGGTAGGAAGAGAGCAAATACATTGCGGTGACTAGAAGAGCGTGTGGTGGGGTGACCCATCTGGGATAGCCCTGCGGTGCTGGGACATGGAGAGGAGTTTCTGGTTGGGAGATTTTGAGGGGTGAAGCTTTAGGCATTGTGATTGTCACTAAGGAGTCAACTCATTTTTCTTATTTGGATTTTTATTTCCTGGCACACCCTATACCTGAGCGTTTATCTCAGGCTCCCCTACTCTCCTCTGCTCCTATCTCTTGCTTCGTTTCCTAGAGCTTCGTGTAATCCTACCTTCTCTGTGAAACCTCCCTCCTGTAGTGCTTTAGGTAACACTTGGGGCAATTTGTAGACATGAAAAGCTCTTTTGTGTATATGCAATTTCACGCTTTTAAAAATATATATATATGTATTGATTTAAGAGAGGAAGGGAGAGGGAGAGCGAGATAGAAACATCAATGATGAGAGAGAATCATTGATCGGCTGCCTCCTGCACGCCCCACACTGGGTATTGAGTCCACAACCCTGGCATGTGCCCTGACTGGGAATTGAACTGTGACCTCCTGGTTCACAGGTTACGCTCAACCACTGAGCCACGCTGGCCAGGCTTCACACTTTTTGTATCACCCGCTCTATATTGTATATGAATAGACACTTGACAAAAGTGTAGGAAGCAAATGATTGAAAGAAACTGTAAGGGCCAGGGAAAGGCAAATATAGAGAAAATTTGCCACCCATTTCTTTCCTACTTTGGGTAAAAATGAAATTCCATTGAGAAATCTTGAAGTCTCCAGTGCAGTTCAAGCTTTCATGTATATGGCTGACAGTAAGTCAGGAGAGTCCCAGGAAGATGTATGGAAAAGATGGACCCTTAAAATCCTTTGGAAAATATTGGAGTGGAAAATGAAATACTTGCTCCCTGTACGTAGTCTCACCAATTCCAGTGAAAAACTTGCTTGACTTTAATTTAAAAATTTTAATTTATTGCTGATTGAGAAGTCATTTTCAGTTGCTTCAGAGAAGGTATTGCCTTCGTTTAACCTTGGAGTCACAGGCACCTGCCTCGGGCCCTGTGTGTAGCTCTTGTATTGTGGTGAATGGAGCCTCAGAGCCCGAATTTTTTTATTGGACCAGGGCTTGTCAGTGCTCAGAGAGACACCCAAGCAGATGGCATTGTTTACCTGAATCAGGTAGGTTTGTTTCTATGTGCAGATCTGCATTTCGGTTAGTGATCTATCTGTCCATCCAGCTCTGTTCACATGAGATTTCTGCATGTCTCACATGTCATCTTTGGCTGAATTAAGTATTGTTTGTGTTTATTGCCTTATAGACGAGGAAAGGACCACCTGTCCCACCTCTGCCTAAAGTCACCCCGACAAAGGAACTGCAGCAGGAGAACATCATCAGTTTCTTTGAGGACAACTTTGTTCCAGAAATCAGTGTGACGACACCTTCCCAGGTGAGGGCCTCGTACAGAGGTGGGATGTCCATAAAGTAGCATGGCGGAGGGACTCTCAGGGGCCAGTTCTGAAGAAAGTGGCAGAGCCCCAGTCAGTTTGACTCAGTAGTTATAGTGTCAGGACTGAAGGCTCTTGAGTTTGATTCCATTCAAGGGCACATACCTGGGTTGAAGGCATGATCTCCTGTCCTAGTCGGGGCACGCAGGAGCCAACCAATGGGTGTCTCTCTCTCTCACATAGATGTTTCTCTCTCTCTGTCTCTCCCCCTCCCTTCCACTCTCTCTAAAAATCAATGGAAAAGATATCCTCGGGTGAGGATTAACAAAAAGAAAGAAAGTGGCAGATGTTAGAGCCAGCAATATAATTTCAGTTGCTATTCAGGTTTGCTTGTCTAAAGCATTTTCAAGTATTTGAAAATGCTCACATTATTTTTGATTATTAAGATTAAGTAGCACATACTTATTGTAGAAAATGGGAAAATACTGAAAAGTGTAAAATGAAGAATTCTAATAATCGCTTAAAACATACCGCTCTGATTTAGTCACAAATATGCTTTGACTTATTTCTTTTGGTCTTCTTCCCACCCCCACCCCCTGCCACCCCCAGTTATATACTGATTTTGCCCACAGTACTCCAATTGTATTGTTATGTACTCCTGACTTTTCTACGTAATCTCACTGAGCATTTTTTCATGTCATAGGATTATCTTTTTTTTTTTAATGTTTAACCAGTGTATTCTAGCGGGTGGATTTAGCAGCCTCTGATTGTGACCACAGTTTGCTTTTGATTTTTCCATGATTTCGCCGGCACTTTGGTGAACATCAATATAAACGAATTCATGTTTGCACCTCTACTACTTCTTTTCTATGATTGCCCAGTAAAGAATGGGAAAGTGAAATTAAAGAGGTGAATACTTAAAGTCTTTGCCCTTCAGCAGGCTTTAATGTATCTGTGCACGTGACTTGGCACACGGGACCATCAGTGCTGCCCTGGATTTCAAAGACACCTGGTGCAGGTGCTCCACCCCCGTTACCCTCGGGACTGTAGACCTGTCCCTGCCAGTAGCTTGGCTGGCCCATGGCCTTGAGAATGGTCTTGACTTCCAGAGCTGCTCCTCCTGTCATCGAAGCCAACTCTTCGTTTTAAGAGTGAAAGTCCCCAGTCATGCCAATATCATTCCTCCCAGTGTTCTCGGGATTAGAAATAATATTTACATTTTGCGAGATGTGTGAATGCAATACTTTAGTGACTGAACACATCCATAGCAACACTGCATACAACAGCCTCATTATAATCACATATAATAACAGAAGTAATCACTGATATTAGGGGGTTCAGAAAATAAAAAGCAGTGCAGTGGCAAATCATAATTTGTCATCCTTTTGGGGGACCATTTCTCAAGAGACACAATGCTTTTGGCTAATTTTTTTCCTTCTTCTGTATGAAATGCTGTATTTGTGTGAACTGCTGAACTTGGTAAGCTACCTAGGGTTTGAAACAAGATTCAGCAGGTCCTGTGAGGAGGGGGAGTTGCATGTTTATCAGCGCAAGGACAAATCATGCCTGTGGAGACACAGATGCTGCCAGGAATAGCTGTCTGGAACCAAGCGATCTTACCCAGCACCCTGCTGGCACCAAACTTGAGCTGTTTGCTAACAGCCCAGCTTCGTTCTCTTCTTTGCTACGGTTTCCAGTCAGTGTTTAGGGTGATAGCGTTCTTACTCTCACATTGCTTTCACCTGGACCCTTGGAGAACATCCTTCCAATTGTATCACAAAGAGAGAACGTGGCCACCTAGGTACCCTGTGTGCTCAGCTAAGGACACCTCCATTAGCAGTCGAGGCAACTGAAGTAGAGGAAACAGGACACGTGGACTAGCCCTGAAATAAAGATGGGGCTCCGGCAGTTTGAAATGTGTTTATTTGCAGTTTGCTGGCTCATAGATAAGGGTCCTTCGTGGTGAGGGGGGAAAAGGGTCAAAGCAGTTTTTAAAATGACAAATGCCCGAAGAGGCCTCTAAGTACTTCTGAGAGTATTAACTTTCGCTGGTATTGTTGAGTGAGTGTGATAGGAAAAGTCAAGAGTTGGGGGAGAGGGACAGCAAGCACCTTTCAAAACAGAACCTTCTCCAGCCGCTGCTGCAGGGAGACAGAAAGCTGGTAGAGCACTGGCTGGCATGGCCAGTCCTTGTGCAGACTGCGGAGTTGTTGGGAAGGGCGGGGGAGCCTCTCCGGCCCAGTACCCTTTATAACTTACTGGCTGTACGTCACGTCCATCCATCTCATCAATCTGCCAGGCGATTTTGCAAAAACTACCTACTGGAGACATTTTGGGGGTGCAGTTTGGGGGTTCAGTTTCCTTTATATGATTTTCTTTTAACATGGGGAGGAGGCAGAAAGGCATGTCTGTCATTTTTTCTGAATCTGAGAAGCAGCATGGCTCTAGCACAGTGATGGCGAACCTTTTGAGCTCGGCGTGCCGGCATTTTGAAAAACCCTAACTTAACTCTAGTGCCGTGTCACATATAGAAATTTTTTGATATTGGCAACCATAGTAAAACAAAGACTTATATTTTTGATATTTATTTTATATATTTAAATGCCATTTAACAAAGAAAAACCAACCAAAAAAATGAGTTCGCGTGTCACCTCTGACACGTGTGTCATAGGTTCGCCATCACTGCTCTAGCAGGTGGACACATGGCAGCATTTCCATGGACTCAATGGCTGTTAGTCTCATGTCATGATGTCAAGAGAGGGAGTGAAGCGAAGTTTCATATTTCAATCTACATTTTAGCTTCTTGAGTGACATAATCTGGTTTTATTTTAAAATTTACAGGTGCTGCCTTTCCATGACGCATCCTAACAATTCCCTTCCTTGCTTCTTCCTCGGTAGATAGGATGTAGCCATTTTGTGTTGCTTTGGCCGTTTGGGTCCCATCCAGCAGTGTCTGACCAGCAGATCTGGGCTGGGGGCCAAGCATCTGCTTTTCTAACACGCTCCCAGGTGATGCTGACACTGCTGGTCTTGAGATCACACGTGAGAACCACTGTTTTACAGCATCAGGGTTCCTTCCACATGATACAGTTTTGTGGCCATGAACAAAGTACCACAGCGAATTAACAGATTTCTTCCAGGGCAAAAGTCAACTGGGTCAAGTGTATGTCAGGATGGACCATTTACAATTGTCCATTTAAATATAATGTGACTTTACTGTACCTGTTCTATCCTTAGGGCGGCTGGACTTAACACGTGGACATGGGTGCTTATGATATTAGGTATATTGATCTGATTAGATGTCAAGTTAAATATTCTCAGTGAATGGATTATCTCATCAGAATGGTGATGTTTTCAGACATGCACAGAGAAACGATTCAAAAATAAACAGAAATTTCAGGAGAAAATGAGATGCCAGCTGCCAAGAAGCAGAGCATCGAAAGCTAGGAAGCTGAGATGCACCGAGGTTTTCCCGGGTGCACACGTGACATTCCTGTGATCTTCAGGTCATTATCCCTATTTCAGAGATGAGCAAAGCTGTCCTCTTTCTGTGACACTGTGTGGCTCCAGGGCAGACGTAAACAGGCAACCCCTTTTTGCTCTTTGTGTGATTCTATCAAATTACTCTTTGATGTGAGTGTCTTAAGGTATAACTCTCAAGATTAAGGGGGAAAAAACAAATATACATTGAGCCTGAAAAAATCAGCTACACATTTTAAAGGCAACCAAACTAGTATTATAGCTATTTGATAATGATTTTACATGGATATACATGATTACTAATAGTAATTAACTACATTAGCTTCCATTTCCGTGTTGAGTATGTCCTATATTTTATGTACAATGTATTTGTTGTCTTTATCACTCATGGTAATCTTAGTCGATAAAATTATTTTCATTGTATGTATGAAGCTCAATGAAGCTGAGTTAATTGCTCAGAGAGAGACAACTAGTAAGTGGCAAAATTGGGCTGCACACCCAGATTTATTTATCTCAATCAAAGGCTCAGCATAGCAATTATAGTCTAATGCCTCTTTTCACCCATGATCTCTAAATTCCCATTTGAGCCTCCTTAAGGGGATCCATTGGGCTCATAAGGGACTTGGATATATTTGTGCAGCCTGAAGTGTTATGGAGGGCTCACAGAACATTGAGAATTCCTCTGCAGATCTTGAGGACCCCCGTTTGAGAGAGGTGGGGGCGGATCTCAGTGGCAGCTTGGAAGAGCATGGGAGTCACAGGTATCGGACTGCTGTCCGGATCAGCGGCGTTGCAGGCGGGGACCCAGGGCAGTAGATAACGTCCTTCAGCTCAGTCTCCTCGTCTCCAAATGGGAAAAGGATGCCGTCTGCCCTTCAATTCTCTGTAATGATCAGACCAGCCAGGTAAATCTCGGATTGGGGAACAGAGCAAAGTAGTTCTTTTAGGGCAATAGTGTTGTTGTCATTAGACTGCAGCAAAGTGCATGAACACGAGTTAATGTTCACATGCATAAAATTATTACCACAGTGCCCGCCTGGCACATTCTACGTATAATATGTGTTTCCAAAATGGTAAAAATGTAATCTGTACCAACCAATATGAAAGTCGGTGACAAGACTCATGCAGACTTTGAAGAGGGGCCAAGGGAATCAGTTGACAGTTTTGTGACTGTAACTAGTAAAGAAAGCGGGATCTCAGTAAAGCATTATCCTTGTGAAATTTAAAAAGTATATATGTGAGGAGTAATCGTGCTGCAAAACAGATAACTCAAGAAAGAGCTCAACATCATGATATTTAAGTAGATTTCCTTCTGCAATGAGTGTAGATAAACTAAAAAAATATATTATCTATTATGGGCCCAAGCTTTCCATACATCCCTGAGTTAAATTATTTTATGTTTATGACCGATATTAATTAAAATAACTCCTGTTCTTTAAAGTTTTTCTCTAAATAGCTGTGTTCTCATATAATACTTTATCCATTGTTGTGAAATTTCAATTTATACAACAGATGGTCAGAATTGAAGCTTATATTAAATATCAAACACATGTAACTTGAATTGTGTGAAAACCAATCCTAATTCTCTTTACCATGGTCTAGTTTATGGGGACTTTATTTCAGCTCTGCCTCATACTGTGTAACTTGAACCTGGGTTAGGCCAACTTCAAGCCCGCATTATTTTTCCTATATCATGATACCATAATAAATGACCAAATGATAGTATTTATTTTTACAAATTTTTGCTATTATCATAGTAGGACTTTTGTTCTATGTCCTATTTGACTTACCTTCTCTCTAACCCAAGAATGTTATTGGGCGAAGAGCTCATTTTGTGATGAACATTGGGGGGACATAGTTCTCTTCTCTTCCTCCCTTTCTTCCTTCCACTCTCCCTCCCTCATACTCAACAGTCCAGAAAAACAATATTATGGATGAGGAATGGATACATGATAACTAACTCTAGGGATAGGGTACCACTGGGGGTGAGCCGGGTGGGATGTGGTCACAGTAGACAATGATCCCTTCTTATAAAATTTAGCTTCACAGGGGACATCATAGCAGTGAGTTCCTGTAATGAGTTGAGGCCTTGGCCCATTTTATCCATCTGATCATCTGTAATTCTTGACCTGAGATATAGGAACTAGCAGACAAGAAGATTCCTCAGGTCTTTGTGGCAGTAGGATACATCTCTCAGACATTCTCTATGTTGGCTGAACTTGGAGCTGGCAAAGGACAGCAACTGAACCCTGGGCCATGTTCCTGGGCATCTCAGGTTTTCCTTGGCCAGAGTTGGTTATTTCCCCTTTCATCACATTCAGCTGGTGACTCTGAGAGCATGTGGATGAGCCACCTAAACAGTAAACTGCCATTGGAATATTGACTGATACTAGAGGATTATGTGGGTTATATGATGAAGTCTTATCAGATTCAGGCTGTGCATGTTTTGTTTTGTTTGAACAGAATGAAGTCCCCGAGGTGAAGAAAGAGGAGACTCTGTTGGATCTGGACTTTGACCCTTTCAAGCCTGATGTAGCCCCTGCAGGTTCTGCTGGAGTGACCCACTCACCCATGTCTCAGGTATGAAGTGGTTTGTACGGTGTTTGGAGACGATATTCCATAAATTTTAATAAGCTGGGAAGGAAGGGTAAAATGGAAACTTTATCAATATCAATTATTCTAAAGCTCCCTGTACCATTAGCTTTCTCTGTCTAGAGCTGGAATAACCATGCATTCCAGTTTGCCCAGGAGTCATCTATCTCAGAGTGATTATTCAGAGTACCTTTGACGGTTCTGTCTTGGTGGCCAAAAAAAGCAGAAAATCATTCAGAATACTTCCTTCTCGGAGCTCTTGTGCAGACAGCCAGCAGAAATCATGGGCTTCCTCTGCCTTACTCTCCGGTGTTCATTACTTTAGTGCAGAAGGGACAGTTCTGCAGTGGATGCTGTAATGGTTAGTGGGTGAGATCCCACAGCATTTCTGTCTGCAAGTTTGAATCAAGAGATGCCTCTTTTATATCTACTCATGATTAAATGAAGCCGTAAGTTGTGGAACTTTGTGTGGATCTAGGACGAAGATTCTTTCAGAATTTTTTAAAAAGGTGACCTTGGTTAAATCTTTAAAGTCTTGATTCTGGAGAAAAAGCATTATGCAGCTAGGAAAGTTGCGTGTGCCACTGTGCAACTGTCCTGGCTTCCCAGCGGGCCATAATTGAGTCACCACACTGTGGAGTTGTCCTGTGATCCAGCTCTAATCACATCTCTCCTCCTTTGCTAAGAAGTCTCAGGCTGAGGTAACATAAGGAACACAGCTGCGCAATTCTGCTGGCCTTCTTTCCCCTTCACTCAAAGTGACCTCCATTCTCATCACCTGATCCCACGTTTTAAATCGATGTTCTTGCTGCTAGTAGAACACCTCGCCTTGTGATCTCTGCTGTGTGCACACAAGCTAACACACCCTTTCATGATCCCAAGGCTTGATAAACATGATGTTTTATATTGCTGCCTTCCTTTGGAGAAAATACAGCTGCTGTCTGCATTATGCTGTTAGGAGCTTTAAGGGGCTATAAAGCAAGAAAACATAAACCACCTGGATAATCAGAAAATGCATATTCAATGCAAAGGAGTCCCTGTATGAATACCTGTGGTTTTCAGGGGAGCTGTTTTTTACTCTCCCTCTTAGTTATTGTACAGGTAGATACTGTAGAGGTAGATGCTAACCCAGACACCAACCAGGCTGTGCAGAGATGCAGGGCGGGCGGGGCGGTGCAGTGAGAGCAGGCTCACACCAAGCGCGTGGGTTCAGTCAGAACCACAGGGCTTCCATTCTGTAGTGCAAACTCTAATGGAGACATCTGTAGTCCCATCTGGAAACTGTCCTGTTCTTAAGATGGGAGTGCCAGATTCTCTAACTTGCTGTTCGCATTTAGTGATTCAAAACAAGTACATAAACATGGATTAGTTCTAGTCACAAAGACATGGGCAGAAAAGGCTGTGGCTTACAGCTTGTACAGGTAGATGCTGTACAGGTAGATGCTAACCGAGACTCCAACCAGGCTGTGCAGAGGTGCAGGGCAGGCGGGGTGGTGCAGTGAGAACAGGCTCACACCAAGCACGTGGGTTCAGTCAGAGCCTCCTCCTCACCAAAAACCTGCTCTTCCATCACTCCTCTCTCTCTCTCTCCCTCTCTCTCTCTCCCTCTCTCTCTCTCCCTCCCCACCTTGGCTGGAATCAAACCACCGGCCCTTCAATTCATAGGCCAACGCTCTATCCACTGAGCCAAACCAATCTACGCTCTTCTCCTCTCTTTTTTTTTAGAGCATAAGGCAGAGGGTTTTCAAGCCGTACCAAAAGGAGGTATAAAGATCTCTACTTCTCTACTTGGACACAGAGCAGTCCAAGTAAGACCCCAGAAGCTTGAAATAGTGTACAAGTTGGGGAATTATGATATGTTCCAACCATAAAGTGAAAGAAAGGAGATGAGGTTGGAGACAGGGTCCCAGGCTGTCCTCACATGGAAGTCATTACAAAGCCTCTCTTTCCCACACTCCCTCTTCACTCTCTTTCTCCCTTTCACCACGTTCACCTATTTGCTTTAAAATAACCCCTCAATTGAAAATTGAAAACAATTCAGGCCTTACTCAGGATTTTCACCTTAATCCTGAGAACAATAGGAAACCATTTGGCAGACTTAATTAAATGAGTGGTCAGAGCAGGTTTTCTTTTAAGTTTATTCTCGTTGCTGCATTGAGAATGGTCTGAGAAGGAATGGACAAGAAAGATTTGGACAGAGCAGTCAGGTGGTGATAGGTAAGAGAGATCATGGTGAACTGAAGTGGTGGTAGCAATAAGATAAAAGGAGTATTGGACAGGTGTGGAAAGTATTTCTAAGGTAGAATTGATAGGTCTTGCTGATGGGTTGAATGATCCTTTACCCTCTCTGCATCCACCCCCTTGGCATTTAACTTTGAAGTGTCCTCTGCCTCTGTCTCTGGACTTGACCATGTGCCTGGCTTTGGGTGCAAGTATGGTGCTTCTAAGTCTACACCTTGAGATGCCTTGCTCTTTCTTGTGCTTCTGTCATCTCCATGAGGACATTCCTGAGGTAGCCTACTGGCATGGAACAGATACGTGGCAGAGACTTGAAGTGCCCAGTCAGCAGTTGAGGCTCGTCTAGATCAGTGGTCGGCAAACTCATTAGTCAACAGAGCCAAATATCAACAGTACAACGATTGAAATTTCTTTTGAGAGCCAAATTTTTTAAACTTAAACTATATAGGTAGGTACATTGTTATTAACTTATTTAGGGTACTCCTAAGCCTTAGGAAGAACCACACTCAAGGGGCCAAAGAGCCGCATGTGGCTAGAGAGCCGCAGTTTGCCGACCACGGGTGTAGGGGAAAGAGGAAATAGCATTAGCAATAATTAGGATCTGCACATTTCCTCGAAGATGTGATAAACAGGTATCTAGATACCTTGTTTACATCATTTGATATGTGTGTGTATTAAAGTAACCCCGTTCACCATGTTTCAGATACAGTTTCCTACTTGTATAGCAAAAGGCATATTGGTAGAACTGGGCTATCCAATATGGTAGCACGAGGCACATTTAGCTGTTTAAATTTAAATAAAATAAAATTGTGTAAAATGAAAAATTTGGTTCTGTTACACTAGCACATTTCAAGTTCACAGTAGCCACGTGTGACTAGTGGCTACCATATTGGACAGCACAGATAGCGAACGTTGTTATCACCAAAGAGTGTTCTGTTGAACAGTGCTGTCCTAAATGCTTCAAAATGCTTATTATTTTATTTCAAGAACATTTATCATCTCAGTAATTGTAACATGCGTGGGATTTGTATACTAACAGTATTTTTGTCTCTTTGCTTTCAGACATTGCCCTGGGACTTATGGACGGTAAGAGTGCTAAGAATTCTGTATGTTGATGTATCTGGGTCCCTGGACATTTAGAAACCTTGTTATATTTTATTTCATCTGTAATGGAAAGAAGGCCCAAACATTTTAAACAATGATGGAGTCCCCTGATGGTCCCAGGTATTACCAACACTAGAAATAATGGTGAGGAGAAAGGTGCCCATGTGCCAGGCTCCTGGATGAGCAAGAGTTTGAGATGCCCCTTGATGCTTCTTCCTGGGATTATTGGTGGCTAGAAGAAGTGCTGTAGTGAAGGATGTGCACATTGGTTATTGCTTATAGAGCACAAGAAAAGTATAAATGGGAAACTGTAAAGCATTGGCTACTCTGCATAGGGAACCATTTTCTCTTCTTTTCTTTTCTTTTTTATCCTCACCCAAGGATATTTTTCCATTGACTTTTAGAGAGTGTGGAAGAGAGAGGAAAAGATAGAGAGAAATATCAATGTGAGAAAGACATAGATTGGTTGCCTCCTGCATGAGCCCCGACCAGGCCTGGGCTGGGGAGGAGCCTGCAACCAAGGTACGTGCCCTTGACCGGAATAGAACCCTGGACCCTTTGGTCCGCAGGCTGACGCTCTATCCACTGAGCCAAAACCGGCTAGGGCCTCATTTTTTCTTTTTAATGAAGCATAATCAATAAGAATTTGAGCTTCAGAGCCAGACAACCCTGGATTTGAGTCCAGACTATTACTTATACCAATAGGACTTTGAGCAATTTCTAAAAGTCTTTCAGCCTCAGCTTCTCTCATCTGTAGAGTAAGGGATACCTACCTTATGATACCTACTGCAGAGTGTTATGTGAGGATTGAGAGAGATACTGTTTGTAGAATATTTAGCCCAGTGTCTGGATGTATCAATAAAAGGTAGAAGTGCAAGGATGCGTGCTTCCAGAATTCAGAGTTGAGAAAAAGACGCAAACAGAGCTTTGTGATGGCAGCCTCTGTGGTATGAAATTAGAAGATTGGGGGAAGGCAAGATGGCGGCGATATAGGCAGACGCGTCCCAGGTCTTGTCCCGGAGCAAACGGAGTAAGCAGCTGAAACTAATAACACCCACCCCGAATTGGCAAATTTACTCAGCTGGTGAGACGGTTTGCAGCCGGGAAGGGCAGACCTCCCCTGGAAAGGTTAAAGACCAGGGATCTGGGCAGGAAAGTTTGCCAGACCTGAGCCCAGAGGGTCGGAGGGAGACCGCGTGGCAGACAGCCGCGTCTCTTGGGACAGACACAGACCCTGACCTGGGTAAGGAGTTCCGCGGGTTTGCTGGCGCCAGGAGATTTGAGATTTGGATTTTGTGATTGCGGAGAACTGAGACTAAAGGGGGCATCCTGAGGAACTGACCAGACCATGCAGTGCCCATAAGAGAGGAGCGTTTCCCAGATCATGCAGTGCTGGTAAGAGAGGAGCGTTTCCCAGACCGCAGATCCAAGCAACAGCAGCCCCCTGATCACCGCAGCCTCCTGATCACCACAGCCTCCTGATCACCACACCCTTTGTCTGTGGAACAGCAGCTGTACGTGAAGCCTCCCCCCACGAGCCAGAAGAGCCAACACAGCTGTGAACAACACCCACCAGAGGAGCTGCTGCCAACTGGAAAGCAGCTGCTACCGCAACCGTCTGAGCAGCAACCACAACCCAAGGAGCCCCTGCCACCCAGGGAGCAGCCACTGAACATCTCAACATCTACATATGTCAGCGAGATCAAACATGGGTAGGCAAAGAAACCCCCAAAGGAAAGAAAAGGAGGACTCGCCAGAAAAGCAGCTAAGTGAGACAGAGATATGCAACATGACGGAAAAAGAATTCAGAATAAGGTTCCTAGAGTACATGCACCAGATGTTCAAGAAGCAAGAAGAAACAGATGAAAAACTCAACTACTTATGCAAGAAGCTAGAAGAAACAGATGAAAAAATCAACAACTTAAGTAAGTCCCAAGAAGAAATGAAGAGCGACATAGCTTCAATAAAAAACTCCATTGAAAGTATCAACAGTAGACTGGGAGAAGCGGAGGACCGAATTAGCGAATTAGAAGACAAGGAAGCAAAACACACTCAAACTGTACGGCAAATGGAGAAAAAAATTAAAAGACAGGAGGAGAGCCTAAGGGAGCTTTGGGACAACATGAAACGAAACAACATACGAATAATAGGGGTGCCAGAACAACAGAAAGATGAACATGGATTAGAAAACCTATTCGAAGAAATAATATCAGAAAACTTCCCTGAGGTGGGGAAGAAAAAAGTCACACAAGCCCAGAGAGTCCCAAACAAGGTGAACCCGAAAAGACCCACACCAAGACACATCATAATTACCATGGCAAATGTTCAGGATAAAGAGAGAATCTTACAGGCTGCAAGAGAGAGACGGAAAGTAACATACAAGGGATCTCCCATTAGATTATCAAATGATTTCTCAACAGAAACACATCAGGCCAGAAAAGAATGGACAGAAATCTACAAAGTGATGCAAAGCAAAGGACTGAATCCAAGAATACTCTATCCAGCAAGGCTATCATTCAAAATTGAAGGGGAAATAAGAAGCTTCACAGACAAAAAAGGGCTAAGGGAGTTTATCACCACCAAGCCAGCCATGCAAGAAATGCTAAAGGGACTGGTGTAAAAAGAAGAAACATCAAGCTCAGAAAGAAAACAGCCACACACACACACACAAAAAGAAATGGCTACAAACAAGTACCTTTCAATAATAACTTTAAATGTAAATGGACTAAATGCTCCAACCAAAAGACATCAAGTGGCTGAATGGATAAAAAAACATGACCCATACATCTGCTGTCTACAAGAGACCCACCTCATTAGAAGGGACTCACACAGACTGAAAGTGAAGGGATGGAAAAATATCTTTCACGCAAATGGAAAGGAAAAGAAAGCTGGGGTAGCAATACTTATATCTGACAAAATACATCTCAAAGTGAAGGCCATAACCAGAGATAAGGAAGGCCACTTCATAATACTAAAGGGATCAATACAACAAGAAGATATAACCCTGGTAAACATATATGCACCCAATGCAGGAGCACCCACATACATAAGAAAACTTCTGGAAGATATCAGGGGAGAGATCGACAACAATACAATCATAGTAGGGGACTTTAATACACCACTGACATCACTGGATAAATCCGCTAGACAAAAACTCAGCAAAGAAACAGCAATCCTAAATGACTCACTAGATCAGATGGACTTAATTGACATCTTCAGAACACTTCACCCCACAGCTGCGGAATATACATTCCTCTCAGGTGCTCATGGGACATATTAAAAAATAGACCACATATTGGGTCACAAGCAAAGTCTCCACAAATTCAAGAAGATTGAAATCATAAAAAGCTTCTTCGCAGACCACGATGGCATAATGTTAGAAATAAACTACAATAAAAACAACCCAAAATACTCAAACACTTGGAAGCTGAATAGCATGTTATTAAATATTGATTGGGTTACCGATGACATCAAAGAAGAAATTAAAAACATCCTGGACACTAATGACAATGAAAACACAACAATCCAAAACCTCTGGGACACAATGAAAGCAGTCCTGAGAGGAAAGTTTATAGCTCTACAGGCCTATCTCAAAAAACAAGAAAAAATGGTAGTCAATCATCTAACTCTACAACTCAAAGAATTAGAAAGAGAGCAACAAGAAAACCCCAGAGTGAGCAGAAGGAAGGAGATAATAAAGATTAGAGCAGAAATCAATGAAATAGAGACCAAAAAAACAATACAGAAAATCAATGAAACCAAGAGCTGGTTCTTTGAAAGGATAAACAAGATTGACAAACCCCTAGCCAGGCTCACCAAGAAGCAAAGAGAGAGGTCCCAAATAAACCAAATCAGAAATGATAGAGGCGAAATAACAACAGACCCCACAGAAATACAAATGATTGTTAAACAATACTACGGGCAACTCTACTCCAACAAACTAGACAACCTGGAGGAAATGGACAAATTCCTAGAAAAATACAACATTCCAAAACTCAATCAGGAAGAATCTAAAAACCTCAATAGGCCAATAACTATGGAAGAAATTGAAGCAGTCATCAGAAAGCTTCCAGCAAACAAAAGCCCAGGGCCAGACGGCTTCACAGGGGAGTTCTACCAAACATTCAAGGAAGAACTAAAACCTACCCTCCTCAGACTACTACAAAAAATTCAAGAGGAAGGAACGCTTCCAAGCTCATTCTATGAAGCCAGCATCACCCTAATACCAAAACCAGGTAAAGACATCACAATGAAAGAGAATTACAGGCCAATATCCCTCATGAACATAGATGCCAAAATCCTCAACAAAATCTTAGCAAATCGGATCCAGCAGTACATCAGAAGGATCATACACCATGACCAAGTAGGATTTATCCCAGAGATGCAAGGATGGTACAACATCCGTAAATCAATAAATGTGATACATCACATAAACAAATTGAAAGAAAAAAACCACATGGTCATATCAATTGATGCAGAAAAAGCATTCGACAAAAATCCAACACCCATTTTTGATAAAAACTCTCAGAAAGGTGGGAATAGAAGGATCATACCTCAACATAATAAAAGCCATATATGACAGGCCCACAGCCAACATCATACTCAATGGACAAAAACTAACACCATTTCCCCTAAGAACAGGAACAAGACAGGGATGCCCACTCTCACCACTCCTGTTCAACATAGTGCTGGAAGTATTAGCCATTGCAATTAGGCAAGAAGAAGAAATAAAAGGCATCCAAATTGGAAAAGAGGAAGTAAAACTGTCCTTATTTGCAGATGACATGATATTATACATACAAAACCCTAGAGACTCCATCAAAAAGCTACTAGACTTAATACATGAATTTGGCAATGTAGCAGGATACAAAATTAACCCCAAGAAATCTGAGGCATTTCTATACACCAATAGTGAACTTTCAGAAAGGGAGATCAGAAAAACAATCCCATTTACCATCGCACCAAAAAAATTAAGATACCTAGGAATAAACTTAACTAAAGAGGTTAAAGACCTCTACTCAGAAAACTACAGGACGTTGAAAAAAGAGATAGAGGAAGACATAAACAGATGGAAGAACATACCATGTTCTTGGATTGGTAGAATCAACATCATTAAAATGTCCATACTACCCAAAGCAATCTATACATTCAACGCACTTCCCATTAAAATACCAATGGCCTTCTTCAAAGATCTAGATCGAACTCTCCAAAAATTCATCTGGAATAAAAAAAGACCCCGAATAGCTGCAGCGATCCTGAGAAAGAACAAAGTAGGTGGGATCTCAATGCCAGATATCAAGCTGTATTACAAAGCCACTGTTCTCAAAACTGCCTGGTACTGGCACAAGAACAGACATATAGATCAGTGGAATAGAATAGAGAGTCCAGAAATTAGCCCGAACCAATATGCTCAATTAATTTTTGACAAAGGAGGCATGAACATACAATGGAGCCAAGATAGTCTCTTCAATAAATGGTGTTGGGAAAATTGGACAGACATATGCAAGAAAATGAAACTAGACCACCAACTTACACCATACACAAGAATAAACTCAAAATGGATAAAGGACTTAAATGTACAACAGGAAACCATAAAAATTCTAGAAGAATACAAAGGCAACAAAATCTCAGACATATGCCAAAACAATTTCTTCACTGACACAGCTCCTAGGGCAGTTGAAACTAAAGAGAAAATGAACAAATGGGACTACATCAAAATAAAAAGCTTCTGCACAGCAAAAGAAACCATCAACAAAACAACAAGAAAACCCACCTCGTGGGAAAACATATTTGCCAACGTCATATCTGATAAGGGCTTAATCTCCAAAATTTATAGGGAACTCATACAACTTAACAAAAAGAAGATAAACAATCCAATCAAAAAATGGGCAAAGGATCTAAATAGACACCTTTCAAAAGAGGACATTCAGAAAGCCAAGAGACATATGAAAACATGCTCAAAGTCACTAATCATCCGAGAGATGCAAATCAAAACAACAATGAGGTACCATCTCACACCTGTCAGAATGGCCATCATCAACAATTCAACAAACGACAAGTGCTGGAGAGGATGTGGAGAAAAAGGAACACTTGTGCACTGCTGGTGGGAATGCAGACTGGTGCAGCCAGTATGGAAGGCAGTATGGAGGTTCCTCAAAAAATTGGAAATGGAACTCCCATTTGACCCTGTGATCCCACTTCTAGGAATATATCCCAAGAAACCAGAAACACCAATCAGAAAGGATATATGCACCCATATGTTCATAGCAGCACAATTCACCATAGCTAAGATCTGGAAACAGCCTAAGTGCCCATCAGTAGATGAATGGATTAGAAAACTGTGGTACATCTACATGATGGAATACTATGCTGCTGTTAAAAAGAAGGAACTCTTACCATTTGCAACAGCATGGATGGAACTGGAGAGCATTATGCTAAGTGAAACAAGCCAGTCAATGAAGGAAAAATACCACATGATTTCATTCTTTCATGGATAATTAAGACCATTACAAACTTTTGAACAATAATAAATACAGTGGCAGAGCTGCCTCAAACCGATTGTCGGACTTCAGTGGTAAGGCCAGGGAGGGTTGGGGGACAGGAGGGAGGGGAGTAAGAGATCAACCGAAGACTTGTATGCATCCATATAACCATAACTAATGGACATAAGACACTGGGGGGTAAGGGAGGGCAGGGGCTTGTCAAGGGTGGAGGGGGGAAAAAAGGACACATATG